CACAAGTACATACTCTCTCCCAACTAACCCCCGAACAGGAAAAATTCTCTGAAACATACATACGTTTCCCACTACAAAACTTTAATGAGTCATTACAAAATTATGGAAGGTAAATAGCCTTCCGCCTTCATCTACAAATAACACATTATATAATACTAAAATAAAAGTCATACACTCACTACAAACCCCCTTAAATCAGGTCCAGGCGGGAAAGAAAGGACACAGTATACCAAACAGACCTTAAAGAAAAATATCATAGCATCAACTCCATCACCAATACATAAATACCACAACAAAAAAAAATTAACCTCTAATTGCGATACCAATATCGCACATGAAACATGCACAATAAAGGCTGTATATGTACATTCTACAAGACCCAAAAAGCTCCTGCAAGGTCTTACACCTATAATCTTAACACCATTCACACTTAATATATTAAGAAGGTCATGACGAAACCCCGACACATCAATCACAGAATTCTCCATACGTTACTACATAATTACTTGACTTCATCACCTTGCTGTCTGTACCCACATGCATGCTACATACACTTATGCCACACATCTACAACCTCTATACCCCAAAACCTCACTCTCAACCCCCCCCAGGAGGCAAACCCCGCCGGGACCCCCTGACTTTCCTCTTTCTTATGTAATCCCCAAAACCCCCACCCCTTACTCACTCAGCCCAAGTTGCAGATTCATGAGAAACCCCTACCGTTAACATTCTATAACCTTCCAAAAATCCTGCGTCCACCTCCTCCCATACAGTTCCCTGTTACGACACATCGTATGATAAAACGTAACCGCAAGTACCCCCGCCTCCGCAACCCCACAAACCCCCTCCCCCTCATCACCCACGATATATATATAAAACACCATTATATAATCCAAAGCTCTTGTGACACTCGTCAAACTTCCCACATCTAGGCTTAGTGCACGCAAAAACCGACACCCCTCGGCCCCCCCCCTCTGTACAACCCTACTTAAACCAATCCAAAACAACCTCCAGCTCCTCACAAAAATATACTGCATGGAACGCTGTCTCAAAATCCCCACAGATTCCGCACCTCCCACCCAAAATTACCCTTTCTGGTTCTTAGAAACCTCTCCCGGGGGTAGTATGCCATGCAGAAAACGATACGTTATCTCCCGCACCCTAGGATTTAACTTAAGCTTGTTAAACCTATACCAAATACTCCTCCATGCATACAGGGGGAACAATCCCTCAACTGGTACAACAATCCTCCCGCAAGAAACCTACACAAAACCCCTGTTCGAATTTTCCTCGGTTCTCTAACCAACATCAAAGCCCTCAAAACTTTTTTCACATTCCTCATTTCCATACCACCATACAACTTACCCAACCTATCATGAAACTTTTTTTCAGCTCCCCCCCTCACTCCCTCGTGCAAAACCTCCCATTTAATAAGCACACATTTAAACCTCAGATCCATCAACCCCAACCCACCCTGGTGCACAGGTAACATTACAACCTCCCTCCTCAGCCAATCGCAACTCGGACCCCACAAAAATTTAAACACCCGTCTCTGAATCCCCACAGTCACCGTCCCTGTTATTGGGAACATGGCTGCTACATGCCAAACCTTACTATACAATAGTACATTTATTACAATCGCTCTTTGCACGAGGGTCAGATGCTGAGGTCTCAATGCACCCAGAAGCCCCAGGATCCTTTCTAACAACCTATTTGAGTTTTCCTCTCGAGCAGCGTTCAAGTCATCCCCCATAGATGATACCACAAATTTTTTAAAGACACCCCTTTGTTTCCTCACAACGCTACATCTCCCCCCCCCCTCTACCCAATCACCCAACCCCATGACCCCTTGACTTCTCACTTTTTTACCTGCATCCCTGTTGCACTTCCAAACAATTGCACAATAACATCCAAAACCCCCAATGCCATCCTTCCCCCAAAACCGGGACTGTTGTGCCATCTACATATCCAATTATTCCGGGCCACACTTTCCCTACCTCACCCCCACCCCGACTCTTGTTACATACACTACGTCAACCATTCTATAAAAGGGGGTCCTGAATGCATGCAAACAATATTTGTGACATGGGACAGCCCTGCCTAAGTCCCCTACCCATGACAATCTCCTCGCCCAACCATCCATTAATCTGTACCCCTCATCTTAGCTCCTGTGTACAACGTGGTTACCCAATTAACTATTTCTTCCCCATAACCCTGTCTCCTAAGAAATAGCTCCCAATGCTCCCCTTTTTCCACTGTCTCATAGCCCCCCTGCCAGCAAAAAGCCAACAACGCCGCCCCCCAACCCCCCCTTTTGACTCCACAAAACTTCTCAGTATCCCATGACCTTAAATCATCGACCTTCCAGGCAATTCATACTGCATTTTCGAAACCACTCTCCCTACCACACATTTAAACCGTTTAAACCCAAGACTTTGCAAACAACTTATAGTCTGCACATAACAACGATAGGCATGGTACTCCTTGAGGGTGTGCTGGCCCTTACCCTTGGGGACCAACACTACAACTGCTGTTGCTTGTTTTTTCCCCCATCACACCCTTCTCCTTCATCTGATTTAATAACCTAACCATGAAACCCCTATTACTTCCCAATGTTGTAGATAAAATTCAGCGGGGGGACCGTCATCCCAGTGCTTTGCCCTTACTCATTCCCTTTAAAGCCAGCTCTATTTCCTCTTCCATTATTACCCCTCCTAAAGCCTTCCTATCACTATTCCCCTAAATTACATGTCACATACTCACTCACCTTCTCTAAAGCCACATCCCCCACCCCCCCACTTGTCCAAAAACCTTTCATACCATTTTATCCGCATACCAAAACATTCCTTTCGTAGCCCGATCTCCTGACCTACCCTATAACCTCCCGCCATCTCATGTACCTCTAACCTTGGAATGGCCGTAACCTGCTGCCTTTGCTTTTTACGACACAACATAACACGCCGAGGCTTTTCTCCCCAAAGCACCTCCTCACCCCTGCCTGCACCCTTACCACCTGAAACCTCTCGTTTTGCAACTCCCTCAGTCTCCCCCCTTTACCTCGTCAATTTCATCCATAGGATAGTTGCCCCCCACAGCCCCCTGCCCATAACAACCCTTTAAACCTGTCCTCTAAATAATTTGAAAGTCCATGTTTTAAATTATTTATACGTTTACCCCCCCTCACATAATTTTCCTAATCCTTTCCTTGGTTACACTTGTTTAAATGATTCCAGTGACACCTCTGCCACAAATGTCACTCCCGTCATCCGGGTAGTTCACCAGTCGTTGACACACCTCAGCTGTCAAACTCTTCATCCACCACCTTCCCAGGTGCGGCCGCCTCCTCAGGTGGTGACAAAGACTTCAGCACCTCATCTAATTCCTCCTCAATTTCCAACACTTCCTCCTGTACTTTCCCGCTCGTCACTAGCCTCTGAAAGCGTCTCTGGGCCAGTTAACTGGTCGAGGGCCTCACCCTCCCCCCCAGCCTTATGCGCCTCATCCACTATCTTGCTCCATAGACGACCACGCCCTCCTTCGCATCACTGATCCCCACCTGCTTCCTCTGTTGTAGCAGCGGAAGCCTCTGCCTCTGGGCCAGGAGCTCGTTGCCGCTATGTGATCATATTCCCCACATAGTCTGCATGTACATCTTCGCCCGGCATACAAAACCATGACCTGTGTCCTGAATTCCTGAAGGTACACGTAGGACGGTATGGGATGTCATAATGTAATTTTTAGGTTAAAAGAGCCTTTCGGCAGACCTTCATAGGTACCCGTCACCCATGTACCATGCTGGGCCAAATGAACAGTACCATATTTCTCAAAAACTCTTCTGATGTCTGTCTCATCAGCCTCAAAGGGGACATTACATAGTTTAATCCATGTGTAAATGCCTGATATGTCGATCATCCTCACACAAACAGCTGGTGTTGCATCAAGACTTACGTCCTGAAAACGGGTGACCAACGATTCATAGACATTTGGTGTGAGCACTTTCACAAAAATTCTATGTGCTCTATTTAAGGCTACCCCATATAACTCTCCATCCTGAATTCCATACGTCTCTCTGATGATCTTAGGTAGTAATACCTGCGCTGAAACGTCGTTATTGCCCCTTGGATAAGCTCTATGCCAACAGTATTGATCCTGCATCTATGAAAGCCATGTTGACTAATAGTAGTTCTTCTGGTTTGACAGCAGAGGCGTGACAGCACCACCCAACACCACTGCAGCCAGGCAACTGAGGAGCGCCTGCGCAGTAGGTCCACTCCGCCCGGAAGCGAAGAGGACAATAATAAATATCATAATCTATATTCCTTTCTCTGTGTGTGGAATCTAGTTTCCATGAGTGTTTCCAGTCACACTCGTTACTGTTATTATACTCAGAGGAAGTGCCAAGCACCTAACGGTCATGCTGTACCTGACTCACACGCTACTGCTTACATAATGGCTTCAAATTCCCTGATTGCGTGCAATATGCAACTGTTTTTTATGACAACATAATCCAAAGATGCCTGCAGTAATGGGCCAATATTTTCACAGCCTTATTATGGCCTTCCTGTTATCATCACATCTCTGCCATAATGGAGAACCTTTTCGTGTGGCGTTTTTGATCTGCCAGCAGCCTCGGCCGTTTTGTTTATTTTGGACTTTTAACAGTGACATGTACCTGTTGGGACTTCGGAGAAATTTTAGATCTCTTTTTTTAATGTTAACCGTTTGATATGCTTATATAGTTAATGCCAGATATTTAACCTATTGTGAGTGTTTATAGTTTTATCGTGAAATTGTTCCTTTATTATTTTTATCTTTTAGATAGTTTTAGCGTGTGTGTTTTAGGTCAGCTCAACATGTGAGAAAGAGCTCTGAATGACTTCTTGTCAAAGCGCTCTGTAAACTTTAACATTTCGTTTTCCTGGACGATCTTACACTTCGTTTCGTCCATTTCTGAAGCATTCTACATTGTCTGATGTTTATTATTGCCTCAACTGAACCAGGCCAATGACTGGGGTAATAACGGCCCTGTGCTGTTAACGCGAACACTGAAAGAGGCGTGTGAAAGGCCAAAGCTGGCACCAGGAGATCAGTGTCATGGTGTGCATCTCCTCTCCTGGAAAGCCTTTTACCCCAGTGCCGCCTGGGAAGTGGCGATTTCCATTCCTTCCCAGAAAGGGAACAATCAATTTTACAGAGGTGAGTGTTAGATCCCTTTCTTAACCATGTAGTGTCAAGTATAGTGAATTGATTTTTGTTTAGTGTGTGAATGGTTGAGATAATGAGCAATTTGTTGAATAAATAGTTGTGTAGTTTAATTATACAACCCTTTCTCTTTATTGAATATTTTGGAAAATATTGGTAATTAGCAAGCTTATAGATTTTTGGAAACGTTATGATGTAAGGATTCGGGAAACCAATGTTTACACTGACGCAGATACATACAAGGCCGCCATGTTGAAATTTTCAAAATGGCTGCTTCCATAATGTCCACGCTTTTTCAGTGTGCCTGCCTGTTAAACTGCATATTGCATTCCTCTCCTCTCTCTCTCTTCTCTCTCTCTCTCTCTCTCTATATATATATATATATATATATATATATATATATATATATATATATATAAAATAAAATATATATAATATATATATATATATATTATCTCATCTCTCTCTCCTCTCTCTCTCCTCCTCTCCTACTCCTCTCTCTCTCTTCTCATTCCTCCTCTCTCTCTCTCTCTCTTCTCTCTGTCTCACTCCTGTCTCTCTCTCTCTCTCATCTCTCTCTCCTCATCTCTCTCTCTCTCTCCTTCCCCTCTCTCTCCTCTCTCTCTGGCTCTTCCTGTGTTTTCTTCACTTATCTCTCGTCATTCTTCGCTTATCTTTCTTTATCTGTTTTCGTTTTGCCACCCTTAGGCTTTTGAATACAAGTTTCCATGACGGGTTATTTTCTTTTTTAATCCCTGTTTATCGTTTGCCAGTTCTTGAAAGCCGCTTTTTGAATGTCCCACAGAATTCTCCATCTTTATTCTGCTTTTCTTCTGTTCTCAGATCCTCAGGTGAAATATTCTGTCCTAAAAAAATTTAAGCACAGGGGTAACCATTCAGAAGCACCTCTTGGACCCCGGGAAACCTTTATCACTTTTCCTGTGGAATACACAGTTCAGTGTGCATGGTAGAAAGTGCTACATTTCCTGAAAAGAAATAACCACAGATGGTAACCAGTACAGAAAGCACCATCATTAAGTAAGCAGCCACAAGAACATTAGTCACATTTTCCTGTAAATAACACATTGGTGTAGCTGCCGTACAAGAGTGACAGTCACAGCCGTAACATTACTACCTGGAAAAGAAGTTAGATTGATATTATAAATCTGCAGATACAAAAACTGAATTTTAATGACCAAGATACATAGAAATGCACTATTATATAAATATAAAAGTGATTAGAAGCTCATATGTCAATATTAATGTAAAATGTAGCAGCCATTTTTGAAAATCCAATATGGCGGCCATTGCACCGTGCGCAAATGTAAACATGATTTCTAAATATCTTATGTCATGACCTTTCCAAAAACGCATAGGTCTTTCAAATCCCCAAAAGTTTCCGATGAAAATAATGAACCTAATTATGGTGTGGCCCAGTCCTGCCCCTGGACCCATTCTGCGCCTCTAATCTACCACTGTAATAATGACATGCAATACTGACAAACACAAAAAGAAACATTTAAAACAGTCAAGTATCTTTAGTCCGAAACGTTTCGCCTACATAGTAGGCTTCTTCAGGCTAATAAATTTATCACCTCTGGTCTCTGACTTAAGAAATCTATTGTATGTAGGAAACATTACGGAATAAAGATGCTTAATTGTTACATATATAATCTCGCCTTTCGACTACCTCCCACAGGAAGACATGAGGTGCATAGTAAAGTTATACAGCTAAACTTTATGTAACAGTTAAAGTTTACTCTTAGTTTTGCCTCATAAATATAGACGATTGTTAATGACTTATAAATGATAACCTTAGGGGTTTTCTAGGGTTTAGACGCCTAGGTTAATGGCCAGTTTAATGAATGAATAATGGACAGTTTGAGGAAGTAGTGACGTCCCCGGTTCATAAGAAACTGTTTTAGTAAATAAATGATATCCACTATGACAGATGTCGTAGTGGATATCAACTATTCATAAATTTATAAAGAAAAATAATTGAACTGACACACTTTGGGGAAAGAATTAAAATTATTTTGGTTAATAAGTAATGAAATATTATTTTAATGAATTGCCCATAGTTTGATTAATTTCTGATGGCCACATTAGTAAGTGAATAACGAATACCCATTATGTTGGTTAATATTGACTATCCCACATTCTCCTCTGGTGTGAATGACATACTTGTATATTTAGACTTTCTGTGGCTAGTTCATATACAGTGTTATGATCGCATTTTCTTACAGGTTTTCCCAGATTCTTACGTAATTCACATGTGGAATAAGATGAGTCACCTCCAGCCAATCTTCAAGGATTCGGGGAGCATCTACGATGTCGCAGCCAAATCCTTCTGTCCAGTCACCAGAGCCGTCGCTACTGCACACTCCAGCCTGTACTGAGTTTACTTCAGCCGGTATGAAGACTGGACCAGCTTGTACTGAACCTGTACCAGCTTGTACCTGTCTGTACTGAGTCTGAACAAATTTTCACCAGCCTCTATGTAGCCTGCACCATCCTATACTCAGCTTATAATAACTTATATTGGGCCTGCACCAGCCTGTACCCAGCTTGCAATGGACTGTCCTAAAACATTAAAGTCTATTAACTACTCTAGGGTCATTAAGGCTGAACGTAATGTTTTTACGTCCAGCCTTAATGACCTCTTTACTTTAATCCTTAACGTGAAAATTAAAGTCTCAGCATATGTACGCCGCGAGAAATACACATCTCTGTATTATTGTGCCCACGAACAAGTGATATTGATCAATAACAACAATGCGACTAGCCAAGGACTCGAGCCCATGCTGCTTTGGCCTGCCTCATGGTGGTGAAAAACTCATGATGCCTTAATCCACTGACCACACAATCCTTAAGAGTAGTGCACCTAGCGGAACTGAATGCTGTACTCGCTACCCAAGGACATACGTTGGTGTGGATGACTCTAGGCTAATTTCATTCTAGTCCCTGTTGGTGTACTAGTACAACGAGAAGTATTTTATATTATCTCTCCCCACGAACGAGTGGTATTGATCAATAACAACACTGCGACTAGCCAAGGACTCGAACCCATGCTGCTTTGGCCTGCCTCATGGTGGGCGAAAACTCATTACACCAAACAGGGTGTAATGTCCTTGGGTAGTAAGTACAACACTCAGTTCTGCTGGTGCGCTATTAAGAACTCCGTGGTCCAGCAGATTAAGGCGTCATGAGTTTTCGCCCACCATGAGCAGGCCAAAGCAGCATGGTTCGAGTCCTTGGCTAGTCGCAGTGTTGTTATTGATCAAACACCACTCTGCGTATATATTTATATATCTGTATATCCATGTATCACCTTTCTGTGCATATATCTGTGGAAAATTAAATTTACCTGGATGTAACTCATGAGATACATACCAGTAAATGGTAACAAAGGTAATTATTCTTTATCAAGGTTACAGAGACAAGTAGGAATTTTAGGACACTTAGGTCGCAAAAAAAAGTCCTCCTTCGATATGATAATCTATCTCTCTACAAGTCACTCTGGACCTATATTAATTTCAAATGAAATATACATCACCAGGAATTTTGTTAAAAACATTAATATAAATATGTGGACTGTATATTAAATTTAAAATGTGAATGGATATGCATTGAAGGAGAATTTATAATAATAAGATTCACCAATTAGTCTGGAGATTGCTGTGTGTCATACTCAAAACCCCCCTGCCTAAATTATGAAGAAAATACTGGCCAGAATTTCAACATAAATAGACAACTTAGCTGGGGTTACCAAAGCTGTCCTGTCCATCTGCTTAATGCTCCTGTTATGCAGGACTGCAAATCCAACAATTTCGGCTCCTATTTCGGAAGTTTCAACCACAATTTAACTTCCAAAGCAACGATATTTATGCACATTTCACTCGCGTGCCTTCAGCCCTGTTCAAACAATGGCATCTCTTCCCCATCGACGCTCACCCATACTGGTTCTTTATTTATTTACAAAATAATTTTCATTACCTACAATATATGCCATCAATTTACATACAAAATACACTGTATTTTTGGAAAATATACAGTATTTTCTACACTACGGCCGGGCGGAGTTCGTTCCTAAACGACTCAAATTACTCCCTTCCTTTAGGAGATGATTCCAGCCAGTTCTGGCTTGAGTGGCTGTTCTCCTAGTAGGTCTTACAACAATTTCATTTTCCTGCATCACTTGGTCAACATTACCTCAGAATCACTCATGTCACTTTCCCTTAGATTTTCATTTACATTTGATTGAATACCATTTAATTCCAAGGGAATCAATTTATTAATTGTGTGTTAAAATTTCCTGGCCACGAAACAATACTTTGACATTCTGGACAACACCTTGTGCATCTGGGTACAATGTCAATACTTTTCCCGAGGCCACAATGTTCGATGTTGTTCAGTATCAATTAACACAATGTCACTTTGTTGAATGTTCTGTCGATTTACTGCCTCTGTCACACCATAAAAGAGTTCATGTAGTGTAAGAAGATATTTCTATGCCACACATTAGACAAATGATCAATTACTTTATTTAACATTTTTTTGATTTATCACACAACACTGCCACATCATTGTAATCTTTCATCACTTTCTTCAGGATTATCTCTATAGACAGGGGCAGCTTCGAATTTCCCTTCCACATATTAGGTGAGAAGGTGTTAATACATCTGTATCAGGTGTATCACTCATGTACGAGAGAGGCCTATTATTTATCCGATTCTCCGCCTCCACCAACACCACACAAAATTCCTCCAAATTAATTTTCTTTCTGTGTGGTACTTTACGGAGACACCTCTTCACCGTGCCTATCAGTCTTTCATACAGCCACCCCTATCAAGGGGCTCTAGGAGTAATAAATTTCCAGGTACACCCTCGTTGGGTTAAGAGAGATTAAACGTCGTTACTCTTATTTAATTCTATCAAGTGTTGAGCACCCTCTACAAAATTTATGGCATTATCCGAAATCATCAATCTCGGACAGGATCTCCTAGCTGCAAATTTTCGAAACAGCTGTATAAACTGTTCTGCAGACAAATCCTGAGCCACTTCTAAATGAATTGCCCTAGTAGCAGTACAAGTGAACAAGCATACATACACTTTCAGTGGAACACAATCTGAAGTACCTGTTAAAATGAATTGGACCACTATAGTCTAACACCTGTTACATCAAATGGTTTTCACTAATTGTACACACTCCCTTGGCAATGGTGGAGACCTGGGTACATATAGAATCTGGCATCCACACGGTGACATATTACACAAGATTTAGTCACCCTTTTCACATTTTGCCATCCTTGTGGAATCCAGAAAGTTTTCCTAATACAATTTAAGGTATCTTGTACCCCACCATGTATTACATTTTTATGGGCATTTAAAACAATTAAATTTGTTGGATGATGAGTTTTGGGCAGTAAGATAGGGTGTTTAGCATAATCACACAATTCAGCATTTTGCAACCTACCTCTGCACCTAATTATGTTGTTCTCTAAATACAGCCCCAATTTCTCTATTATGGAACCTTTCACAATTTTTCTTTCCATCATCATTTTAATCTCATTTTCATAGTTTTCTTCCTGTACCCTCTTTATCCATTATTCAAGAGGATGTGAAAACTTGTATGAGATATTCATCTTGTTTAGAAATTTAAACACCAGCTTAGTTACATTGATTAGTTTGGGTAAAGAAGAATACCTATTTATATCAATGGCTAAGGAAGGACAAACTATTGGAGCAGTGGTCACAGTAATTTCAACAGGAGCAATATACACCTTTTGTACAGGCCAATTAGCTTTATTTACCAACCAGCTCAGTCCTTCAAACCATGATACAGCTTTTACAAATTTAGCATAAGGTAAACTCGAGACAAGAAATCAGCTGATTCTCCTCACCAGGTATATGATTAATGTTAACATATGCTGACCCAAACTATTATACTTCTCTTGCATCTGATTAATTTCAGCAACTCTGTTTTGTACATACACAATTTTACTGTTTCCATTACAAATCCATTGTAAGGATACCTCATTATCAGACCAAATTACAGTGTCGCTAATATATATCTCCTGCAACTTATTTCTTATATAATAGCTAATTTGACACCTATGTAAATAGCTGTTAATTCGAACTGAGGTAAGGTACATGATTTAATTGGAGACACTTTAGCCTTAGACATAACAAGAGAAACAACATTATTACATTGAAGGTAAGCAACTGCTCCATATGCCAATTTTGAAGCATCACAAAAAATGTGGAGTATATTTTTCCCATCTGGATTGGCCACCTAGCATGGGAACTCCAACATTGGAATTTTTTCATAATCACCATTAATTCATCCCAACTGTTAATGAATTCCTCAGGTTGAGTTTCATCCCAAGCACATTTAAGCTTCCATGCTTCTTGTATTAATAATTTCCCTCTTATAGTAAGGGGTGACACTAAACCTAGTGGATCAAAACATTTGGAAACTTCAGCAAGCAAAACTCTCTTAGTTAATTTACTGGGCATACTGTAATTATTAGGTTTAACATTAACAAATCTCTCTCAGTATCCCAAGTTAATCCCAATACATTACTACATTTTGGTAACTTCATCTCCAGGGAAAAACTTTACTTGTTTTGGCCTTTAATTTGGACGAATTACTATTCCATTTCCCTCAGCGTATATTTGCACTTTGCATTACTTTATTAGCCTCTCCATAAGTCATTAACAGTTCCTCTTCATTTAGCACACACCCAGGAAATTGTCCACAATAAAAATTGTTTGCTCATTATTTTACCAATGGACTTCCCGTACGTTTAAGGGGGCGCATTTATTGTCGCTTGAAGTAGGAACAGACTGGATTTTAGCACCAAAAAATACACTCCTAAAGCAAAAGGTTTTTGAGGGCTAACTGGATCACTAGGATTCTCAGGCCATAAAAGGGGTACAATTCCAGTCAACCTCTTGTAAACCCACTCATAGGAAAGTTTTACTATGTCAGCCGTAAAGGCATAATTCTTTAACCCTGAAATTTAATAAGATATCTCCTAATTTTTCCATCAACGATGGACCTGTCATAAAACAGTCATTTAAACTAGGTACATTTTTGTTACTTCCTGGCACTACAATTAAAAAACAATCCTCAGAGGAGTGGTCTTAGAATCTTTTTTTCACTCCGTGATGTGGCAAAAGTGACCATAAACTTTGGCTTGCTCAGGAGGTATCTCTTCTATAAAATTATTAATTAATTGTTCAGTAATTATATCATTTAGGCAGTAAACAATTCTGGTTCTTTCTCAGTTTGCGGAGCTGACCTTTAACTGTCCATATGCCATTCTGAAATTAGTGGTAATTCTGGATGGTTCAGTCTCCACGGAAGTCATACCCAGTATTGTCCAAAATTCAA